CACACATTTACACACACATACACTCACACATACACCCACACACTCACACACACACACTCAAGGCAATTAATAGGCTATCAAAGCCAACAGGAGGTGGAGGGGGCGCCAACTCTGCCCTAGGGGGCTGCCAGTCTAGCAGGGAAAGTAGAGTTCTCCAGCCCAGGGAGGAAGTCAGGGCAGCCCTCTGGAGGAGGTGGCCCCACCCTGAGCCTGAAGGCTAGGTTAGGGGCAGAGGCTGGGAGAGGGCTCACAGGCAGGGAGCTCTACCTGAGTCCAGATATGCAGGTGGAAGTTAGATCAGCATGCTGCCCAGGCAGCACTGGTCAGTGAGCGGGGTAGATGTTGATGGGGCTGGAGACAGGGCCTGGCCCAGTCCTGGAAGCTCCCATGAATCACAGCCCCAGCAGGCTGCTTCAGGCCCCTGCAGGAGCCTCCCTCTCCCAACCTCTACCTGGGCAGGGAGATGGAGCCAGCAGGGAAGAGACCACCGGGAAGAGGAGCTACTGAGAGTCGAAATTTCCCCGCATCATAACTCCATCCGCCCCACCTCCCAGGTTGAGAAGATCCCAACTCAGGAAAACAAGCAGCCCACACAAACTCCGCAGAGGAAACCACTCGCGTTTCCCATCTTGAGGTTAAACCAAGCCACCTGAAACTGCCCGCCCGTCAGGTGGTTCTGACAGGCAGGAAACAGGCCCGTCCAGAGCAGTGCCCCGCCCTGTAATGGCCCAGGTGGGGGCCACGGGCAGGACAGCAGGCTAGCTGGCCACCTCCCCTGACCCAGGGACCTGAGGCGTAGATAGCAAGCCCCTTCTCCCAGCCTCATTCAAGATCCCCTGAGCCATCCCTGCCTCCACACCTGTCAGAGATAGGTTCGGCTCAGGGTCAAGGCAGGGCTTGCACCTCAGCTTCCTGCCTGTTTTGTGGAGCTCCCTCCTATAGGTGCAAAGCGCACCCACTTTAGAGTAGTATCCGGGTTCAAATCCTAGCTGCACCTTTTGTCCACTTCACCGAGTCTCTCTGAGTCTGCGAGGTTGTTAAGGAATCGGGAACCTACAGACGCAGGGCCATGAGCATAGGGCATCTCTCTGTCCATCCAACTGAAGGCCACCCTCAGGCTTAAGGAGTCTGGGACAGGGCTCAGAGGCAGGGCCCTCTGGGAGCATCCCAGTTCAGCGCTGGGAAGAGCCCATGATTGCTACCAGCAGGGAGGGTCCCCAGAAGAGAGTCCCTGTAGAGGCGTTATGTATGTGACCAAACTTGAGCTAGGGTTTCATTGGTCTTTCTTGAATTCTTGAAAAGTTTGGTAGCTTCTTTGGGCGCACACTGGTGGTCCTATGGTGGAATTCTCATCTTCTATGCCGGACAGCCAGGTTCGAGTCCCAGCCAATGCCTCTCACTGCAAGCTCCCTCCGCGGCGGCTTGGGAGCTGCTGCCATGCTCAGCAGATTTCATTGGCACTTCCAGACCAATAAACTAGGAAGAAAGGCCTGGCGGTGCACCTCCAGGATCCGCCGGTGTGAATCCTGGACTCGCTATGGCCAGGCGTGAGGATGGGGCAGAGCCAGGCAGCATCTCGCTGTGCGACGGCAACTAAGGGTGAGAAGCGCTCCTCTAGATGGGGTGCTGTCCATGACAGGCTCGCCCCAAAGCGAACACAGAGTAAGCACCCACAGGTCAGGAGATGGACCGTGGTCAGCACCCCAGAAGTTCCCACTTCCCTTCCAGTGACCCGCTGTCTCCCCAACACAGCTAGCATCTGGGCCTTGTTTGATTGTAGTTTTGAATGAGTGTGAGCACTGATTCATAAACTTTATTGGCTTATTTTATGACGCGACAATTCAAATCTCTTTCCCGTCAGTCTATTGGGTGGTCTGTCTTTCTCACAGATTTGGAAGCACTGTGGGGCCAGTGCCTTTTATGGGCATTATGAATAGCTCCTCCTCTCCTGCGTCTAGCCGGCTGGCCCTCTCACTGGTGTCTTGTGGTGAATGTATTCAGCTTCTCATTCCTTCCCTTTCTGGACTGTGTGCCCTTACCTTGCTCCTGCCTCTGAAGCCCTTTCCCTGACCCAAGGGCGTGAAGATGCTCTCAGACAGTGTCCTCTTGAAGCTTTCCTGCTTTGCCTTTTATGGTGTAATCTATCGATCCCTCTGGAACTTATTGTGAACCCATCGTATGGGGCAGGAGCCAAGTTCCCCCTTTTCAAGGTGGGCATCAAACTGGTCCAGCAGCATTTGTCAAGGGGAATCATTTTAACTTCTCTGCTGCCGTGTAAGATCGACCTGGTCACACATGCAGTGCTCACGTGCGTGTGTCTGTGTCCCTGCTCTCTGTCCTGTCCTGTTTCCTTGGCCTCTTTGTTGACCTTTGTACCAATTGTGTCTTCATTGCTATAGTCTTAGAGCACATCGCGATAGCTTCTATAACAAGTTCTCTCACGTGGTTCCTCTTCAAAGATTTCTTGACTTCATTGGCCTTTCCGTTCCTTAAGTATTTTGAATTGGCTTGTCTGTTTACACACACACACACACACACACACACACACACAGGGTTCTGATTTTCATTGGCGTTGCATTGAATCCATAAATCAATTATGGGAAAACAAACTCTTTAAATATTATATCTTTCACTCCATGAACATGGTATACCCCTCCATTTATTTAGGTACAGATTATTTTTAAATAAATGGATATGATAAAAATATTTTAAAATTAGTGAATAAGATAAAAAATTTTTAATGAAAATGTCAGAAATGAAGCAAGCATTCCTTTCCTCCCCCAAACCTAGAGGTAGCCATTGCTACTGTATACCTATATGTATGTACACACATACGCACACATGCACACAAACATACCAGTTATGCATAGGATCATACTGATTTGCCACATACTTTTTTCTAACAATATAGCATGGATAGCTCTCCAGGCCAGACAATTAAGCCTCGTTCACTCTCTATAACTATTACCTACAGCTCAGAGCCACCACTCGTCTGTCAGTCTGTCCAGCAGTGGCTGCGGCAGCGCAGGCGGGCAGTGTTTCCTTCTTTGTGCACAGGGTTGCTGTGAAGGGGACTGAGCCAACAACACCTCACAGCAACATTGTGCAGAGAGTGAGCCCAAACCCACACTGAGCTGCAGCGACATCCTTGGACGCATGCGCATGTGTGTCTGTATAAGACAGCTTTAGAAGTAAGGGAACCTATTTGGGTGCTGCTAAAATTGTCCAGAGTAGACATGATAAGAGTCTGCGCCAAGCTTGAGAAAGAAACGAGGGATGAATTCATTTTCCCCAAATGGCATGTGCTGCCTCTTGGCTGCATGCGGAGCCTTCCAAGCCCCTTTCAGTCATGGAGATGCTCTAAGTTGAGAGTCTATCTCAAGGGGGCAGCAAGGAAGAGGAAGGGGCTGACCTGTCGACCAGAAGCAGGATGGGAGGAGAGTGGCTGCTTTCAGCTGACACAGCTCCGGACAGAGCCCTCTCCCACACACTGCCCCTGAGCCTCCCAGCAGCCCCATCGGGGACCAGTGAGAAATCTGAGGCTCAAAGGAGTCAAGGGGCCTGTCCCTACTCACACAACGTGTCAGCAGCCAAGTGACCTGGACCGGACCGCAGAACCCAGTGTCTGCAGCCTTGGGGCTGACGTTGCTAGTTCACGGTCATGTCTGAGGACACAGATGGGCAGATCTGAGAAATAAGACCTGGAGCTTGGCCGGGGGCGGGTGCTGGAAACATGGGCCAACACTGGCACTGTTTAGAGGGAGTTCAGCCAGACGGCCAGACAGTGGCAGGTGACAAGTGGTGACTGATGACCACCCCCTGCTGTCTGGGGACCCCTCTCCAGGAAGTCAGTCAGTCACTGTGTAGCAGGTGGGGAGGAGTGACTTGGGAGCCCGGCCAGGCCCCAGTTAGCATGGGGCCAGGTGGGGGTTAGGACAGAGCTCTGCTTTCTTGAGGGAGGGGGAGGTTTCAGGTTCCACCCCCATATGCAAGGGCCTTCCCCCAGCTTCAGAAAGTGGATGACCACCAGCATTCAGCAGATGCCTGAACCCAAACTCATGGGCATCGAGTCTGTTCCGGCTCATGGCGACGCTACAGGATAGAGTGGAGCTGCCTCCGAGCATTGCCAAGGCTGTGGCTCCTGACAGGAACAGCCTGCCATCTCTTTCTCTCCCAAAACAATTGCTGGCAGCCAAGGGCTTAACCACTGTGCCTCCGGGGCTTTTCATCCGTAAAGTGGGGGAATCATAACACTTACCCAGCAAGTTGGCCATGAGAACTAAATGAGACAGGACATTGTGAAGCCCAGAGAGACTCTCCACAAACCAAAACCCTCAAGCTCACTGCCATCCAGTCCATGCTGACTCCTAGCGACCCTCTAGGACGGGAGAACCACCCTGTGGATTTCTGAGACTGTGAGCCTCATTAACCCTGTAAATGCTCTACAAGCATCAGCTACACGATGCTCCCATTGCTGGTCTAATGGCGGAGTCTGGCTTCCTGGATCTCCAACAGAACCGGGGCTCCTTACCTGGGTCTCCTGGGGCCTTCCTGCCCTCTGGGTGAGTTGGGGGCTGGCACCTGGGGTTGGTGTCCGGGTGTTGTTGGAGGGATTTCCGCTAAATTCTTCCCTGGGTTGTCATTGACATGAGGAGGAGGAGAAATTTAGGGGGAAAGATAAATAGATTTGGTGATGGCTTAGCCAGAGTAGGAAACCTGCCCCAAGTCCTTCAAGTCTCTATTCCTCATTGACTTCCTCATCTGATGCCCGGGCACTGGGATCCTCCCTGAGCTGGCACGGTACCAAAGCATTCAATGCAGCTACTCTTGCTTGGCCAAAAGTGGTCCATGTACGTCACAACCACCCCTCCAGGGAATTGCTACGACCTGGGGGCCCAGCTTAGGGCTCCTGGAGCTCATTGGCCTTGGCATGGCCCACTGGCATCCAGGTGTGGGTGCAGATGGGGGTGGAGGCTCAGCTCTGGGCTCTGGGCCTGCAGGAGATGAACAACTACCGGCGGGCCATGCAGAAGATGGCCGAAGACATCCTCTCCCTGCGGAAACAGGTCAGCATCCTGGAGGCTGAGAACCGCATGATGAGGAGATACCTCAGCCAGCAGGAGGCAGAGGAGGAGCAGGACAAAGCTGAGGAGACCTTGAGCCTGGGTGAGGGCATGCGGGCCAACCAGGGCACCGGGGTGGGCCTGCCTCTGGATTGTGGGCCAGGAATGGGAAGAGCCTTTCTCAAGTGCTTGACTCAGCCTGTAGGAACCCCACACACAGACACTTAGACCCTCCCAGGCCGGGTCTTCACAAGGATGATAGATTAGTGACCTAGGGCTGCCATGGGGGCGTAGTGGTTACCAGCTGGGCTGCTAACCGCAAGGTCAGCTGTTCGAAACCACCAGCTGCTCTGCAGGAGACAAGCAAGCTTTCTACTCCCATAAAGAGTTACAGCCTCGGAAACCCACCAGGACAGTTCTACCCTGCCCTACAGGGTCACTATCGACTCGATGCTGGGGCATGGGGTTTGAGTTTAGGGCTGCCATATCAAAGTACCCAGAGTGGGTGGCTTCCAGCGACAGAAATGGATTCGTTCCCAGTTCTGCTCTGGAGACCAGCAGCCCAGAACCAAGGTGTTGGGAGGCCGTGCTCCCTCTGACACCTCCAGGGCAGGGCCCTGCCTTGCCTTGCCTCTCTCTGCCAGTGTAGCTGGGTTCTGGCCATCCCGGACATCCGGTGCCTATTAGTTGTGTCATCCAACGACCACTCATCTCCACATGCCCTTCTCCCAGTGAGTCTCCTCTCGATGTAGCCAGGCCTCCCTCTCCTCCTTCTGATAAAGGCCCTAGCCATTTGGACTTCAGGCCCAGCTGGCCCAGCGTGATCTCATGCTTGCATGGCTCATATACGCAGGTGCGGGGGGTTAGGACTTGAACATATCTTTTGGGGAGACACAGTCTGAGCCACTCCCGATGGGGATCCAGGCCACCACAAGCTCTAGCGCTGGGAGACTCTCCCTCACCCCAACCCCCACTCTGATTTGAGCCGGGAGGGGCCTCCTCCCTTAGCCCGCTCTCCCTCCTCCCCATCCGACCCAGTGTCCATGCGGCAGAAACTGCTGTTGAATGAGGTGGATATGAAGAAGCTGAGGGACAAGGTGCAGCATTTGCAGAATGAGCTGATTCGAGTGAGTTGGGGGCAGAGGACCACGGGAATGCGGTTGGGGGGCTGGGGGTACCAAAAGGGACAGGAGGAGCGGAGGACTCTGCTGAGGGGCCGCTGTCACCCCCCACCCCAGAAGAATGATCGCGAGAAGGAGCTGCTGCTTCTGCAGCAGGCCCAGCAGCCGCAGGTGGGGCTACTGAAGCGGTACCAGGACAGGCTGCAGAAGACAAAGGCCCTGGAGGAGACCGTGCGGCACCAGGAGAAGGTGGGTGTTAGGGCGGCCGGCCGGCCAGGCTGGGGACGTGCAGAGCCTCCGGGCCAGCCCAGCCTCTGTCCTCCACCCTCCAGGTGATTGAGAAGATGGAGCGTGTCCTGGAGGACAAGCTGCGGGACAGGCCGTCGGGGAAACCCACCATAGGTGAGTCCTGACCAGCCTGCCAAGAGGCTACCCCAAATGCCCAGAATCTCTCCTTTTCAATTCATACAGACCAGCTGCTCAGTGAGCCAGGGCTCCCCTCCCGCCAAGGGCTGCTTCTGGACACAGGACGCAGTGCATCACACACACACACACCATGCCTGGCTAGAAAATGACTCCATCTTCTAGGGGAGGGGCCAGGGCCGACTAGAGTGCAGGGAGGGGAGAAGGCTGCCTAGGTCAGAAGCTCCCAACTCGTAAACTTGGGGACCTTTTGAATTATTTCCCCATCACTCCACATCTTAAATTCTGCCTCGGCAAACGGCTGCCTCCTTTGTCGGGAGATCAGAAGAAATGGATGGTGCCCAGCCACCAGGACTGAGCCTTTTGATAGAACACTGCATGGAGGAAGCCTGACCAAAAGGCAGAACAGAATGTCAAGTTTCCTGGTACTGTAGCGTGTACTCGTTGGGACTGCTAACTGCAAGGTCAGCAGTTCGAAACCACCAGCTGCTCCTCGGGAGAACGACTCCCATAAATAGTTAAATCTTGGAAACCCACGGGGCAATTCTTCCCTGTCCCATCGGCATGACTACCATGAGTCAGCATCTACTGGATGGCAGTGAGTTGGACTTTGGTCTTCTAGACTTTTCAGGCCATGGAGGCTGGATGAATCCCTGAAACTATTGTCCTCAGATCTTTATCTTTCTACTTTAAATCCAAATACTCCCTGGCGTCATCTTAAAGCCAGTCGTTTAGCTCAAGTAGTAGAACAAAACGGAAAGCTGCCTTCGGCACTATGCTCTTTGAAGAGCTATCTACAGGGATCAAAGTGACAGTGGCACTTGAAAGATGAGGGAGGGAGCCTGGGGACAGCGGGTTTGTGTGCATGGGGAGGATGGCCTGGGGGAAAGGGGCTGGGAGGCTGGCAAGGCGGATAACACCCCCCCATCCCCCCCGCCCCCGCCAACGCCACTACCCCGTGCATGTCGGGACTGTTGAGCTGGCATGTCTTTCTGTGCATAGTCCCCTACAAAAATAAACAACCCCATCATTCTAGAGGGAAAAATGAATGGAGCGGGGAGGGGAAATATTCTGCATCGATAAGTAAATAAATAGAAAAGTCTACCTCTGCCAAACAAACCACCTGGAATAAATTAGTGATGTGTTGTCCTCATTGGTGTCCACCAAAGCCACCTGGAATTGTCCCTGGGTGGTGGTTCAGATGGGCAGGAAAGAGCCAGGTCACTCCATTTGCAGCCAGCCCACAGCATGCATTCCTGGCATGCATCTGGACAGCCACCCCAGGGACCCGAGTGTGCCCAGCCCTGTGTGCCCGCCCCTGTCTGAGGGAGAGGGCTGTTTCTGTGGGTTCCTTTCAGGAGCCCTGGTGGTGTTGTGGTTACCCATTGGGCTGCTAACCACAAGGTTAGCGGTTCAAAACCCACCAGGCGCTCTGTAGAAGAAAGCTGAAGCTTTCTACTCCCATAGGATTGGTAGTCTAGGAAACCCACAGGGACAGTTCTACCCGGTACAATCAGTCGAGATGAGTCAGGATGAAAGTGAGTTTTTTGGTTTTGGGGGTTTTTTTGTTTGGGTTTAGGGAACCCTGAGGTCCTCCAGCATCTAGGTGAGAAAGAAGACAAACTGTGGGTTTAGGGGATGTGGGGGGGTGGGCGTGGGCAGGGCGTCAGGGTCAGGGTGTGCCCAGGGAGGAACAGAATCTGCTGAGCAGAGAGGAAGGTTGGAACTCAGAGCCGCAGTAGAGGGCAGGGTTGGTTCGGGAGAGCGTGGGGTCCGTGTGGGTGTGATCCCACTGGAAGTAAGGCTTGTGAGCAGAGGGAGAGGTCCAGGGAGCAAAGGCTGGGGCTGATGAGGGCAGGGACACAGAGCCACCGAGGCCCATCCCACCAATATCCCCCGGTCCCCCCTGCAGCCTTCCCCACCCTCCCAGCCGCTGGCCCAGCCCCGGCCCCCGGGAGAGAGAACTTGCCTGGTGACCTATACTCGGTGCTGCTGGCGGAGAACTCCAGGCTGCGGACAGAGCTGGAGAAAAGCCACCACTCGTCGGCCCCCATCATCCTGCAGCAGCAGTCTCTACCGGTAAGAGCCGCCCGCCCGCACAGCTGTGACACTGCTCACTGGGGGCCCGGCACAGTCCAGGTGGAAGATGGAGACCAGGAGCTAGAGTGGCCCAGAGTCCCGTGGGGCCCCGGTTCGTGCCCATCCCCTTTCCTTTTCTCTCCTGGGAGCCTCCCTCTTTAGCTTCCCGGGAGAAAGCAAGCCCTAGCAGACGCGGGTGGCACAGCCCATCAGGCACTGGGGTCCTGGAAAGCCCTGCAGACGGAGCTCTACTCTGAAACACACGGGGTCGCTGCGCATCAGGACACCTCCCCACCCCACCGTGGGAGCATTTCCTGGGGCCGATGCAGCCTAGGAGGGTCCTTCTCCCCATCCCAGGTGGACCCCAGGGAATTGGGAGCAGGAGACTTGGCAGAGAGGCTTCGAGAGAGAGATGGCCCCCGCCACTTCGAGGCCACAGAGACCCTGCCCAGACAGGTGGGTGCCGCAGGCTCCAGGAATGTGCACCCCACGCCACTGCCAAGACCGCTGCAGGTGCCCCCTCTTTCCGCAAACCCACATGCAGATCATTGGGAATGACAGAAGAGGGTGTGGGGCAGGACCCAGGAAAACTTTTCTCTTCACCCCAGGACCTGCAGGAGGTGAGTTCTATTTGAGGAAAAAAGCAAAAGTTGATCATGGACCTCCAGGTAACATGCAAGGGGCGGGGGCTTGTGCTTCGCACATCGATTCTGCACTTTACGGAAGGATTCTCCACCAGGAATCCCCTCTGTGTGCTCAAGGGAGCTTCCGCGTGCATTTTACCTTTAAAATTTCGATATGTCACAAGGTCATGCATCTACAGTCTGTGGGGAGAACAGCCGTGATCAAAGAACTTCCGGGGGCCTGAGATGGCACCCAGAGGGCAGAGTCTGGGGTGCTGAGCTGGCTGGTTTTCCTGCAATGCCTCACGGCCTCCTGCGCTCCCAGGCCCACAGCCACAGCCCAGGGCCATCCGTGAGTCTCCACTTTGCCCACAGGACCTGCTTGCCCATGCTTCTGACAAGTTCAGCCTCCTGGCCAAGCTGGAACAAGCTCAGAGCCGGATCCTGTCCCTGGAAAGCCAGGTCAGGAAAACTCAGAGGTTAATCAGGCGAGGCGAGGCTCCAGATTCACGGTGTGGCTAGGGTCCGGACTCAGTCTGACCAGGGTCGGGGCTCAGTCTGTGACCAGGGTCGGGGCTCAGTCTGTGACCAGGGTCAGGGCTCAGTCTGTGACCAGGTCGGGGCTCAGGGTGTTATTTGGGTTGGGGCTCAGTGTGTGACAGGCTCAGGGTTCCGTGTGGGACAAGGTCAGGCAGGAGGTCCTCTGCCCACTGACCAAATCGCTCCCTTTGTGTGTCTGCAGCTAGAGGACTCAGCCCGACGCTGGGCACAGGAGAAGCAGGACCTGGCCAGGCGCCTGCAGGAGCAGGAGTTTGGCTTCAGGCACCCCTCGAACACTGTCCTCACAGACCTGCCTGTGAGTGACGCCTGCAGAGGAGCCCCTGCCCCCCAAGTCACTGGGCTCTCAGAAAAACCACCCAGGGGCAGCTCCTGATGAGGAGTCAGACCTGGGCTCTACCTGTGGCTGTTACCAACTAAAGCCCTGGCCAGTCCAAACACCCCTCACCTGAGGGGCCTGCGATGGCTGTGGATGGGAGCATGTCCTGAACGCTCTAGCGCAGCATGTGCTCCAGGGCCGGCCTGGCAGCATAGTGGTAACACTTTGGGCTGCTAACCTCAAGGTCAGCAGTTCAAAACCACCAGCCATTCCATGGGAGGAAGAGGAGCCTTTCTACTCCTACAGAGTTAGTCTCAAAAACTCGCCTGGATAGCTCTACCCTGTCCTATAGGGTTGCTATGAGTCGGCACTGACTGGGCACCAGTGGGTTGGGTTGGGTTTGGGGTTTTGCTCCTGTGCACAGGAGCCAGATGCTGGAGACACACACTGCCCCCTCTGCCGTGCCTCCCCAGCTCCCAAAGCACAGACCCCGCTCTCCCCTGCTCTAGAATGCGGTGGGGGTGGGGAGGCTGAGCCCAGTCCCTGCACACAGGAAGCTTGGGCAAAGCTGGTCTCTGCTGAGTCGACATGTTGTTGGCACTACTTTGGATCCTCAAAGTGAGGCATGCCCACCTCCCTGGAGCAAGCATGCACTTACCCCCCTCCCCCACTCGATTTGTCCCCACAGAACCCCCCACCCCATTCCAAGGACCAGAGGCGACCCTCTAAGCTGGACCCGTTGCTGCCCAGCGCAGAGATCAATCCCAACCCATCCTCGACTTCCCAGAAGGAGGCCATGAGGGCCCAGCCGAGCTGAGCCCTGGAGCAGGTGTCTCCCCGTGTGCCGAGGAGTCTCCTCCCACCCCCTGAAAACAACGCTATTAAAATGCTGTCATTCTCTGAGCGTCCACCTGGCTCCTGGAGCAGGGCAGCCTGGGAGACACAACTTCCCCCTGCCAGCCCTTACTCCGGTCTCTCTGCCGCAGCCCAGGGTCACCTGTCCTGGGCGTCACCGTCTTTGGAGAACCGGAGCCCATGGTGGACTCAGGCAGGTGGGGAGAAGAAATCCCCGAAGCAGGACCAGGGAAGGAGGTCCCTACCAGACTTCCAGCGGAAAGGAGGCGAGTGCTTTCCAACCCGCTCTGAGATTTTGTGCCTGAAATCCCTCCTTGCAAGCTTGCTTACCTGGCTCCAGCTCTGGCTCTGATTAAGGGAAAGACGTAATGCCTACCCGTAGCAACCGGGACCCCCTTAGCGTGAGTGGCTCTATTAAACAGTTCACCTGGGCTCCAAGTGCTGAGTTCAGATGCAGCCAGAGACAGACATGCAGCACAGCTGGGGACAGGAGGAGGAGCCCTGCCAGAATAGAGAGTCAGGGCTCTGCTTTTAGCTGCCGATGTGCTGCGTGACCTTGGATGATTCAACCCACTTCTCTGGGCTTCCGTCTGCCGCCAACCCTGGACAGAGCTTACGCTCTTCAGAGACGCGGCAGAGAGAGAGAAAGAAGGTGGGAGTAGCTGTGCAGGACAAAGCAGACAGGCTTGGAACGTGGACCCAGAACCCGAAGCTCCTGCAGAGCAGGCCAAGCCCACTGGGCTGCTGTCCCGAGCTGGACAGTTTCCGGGTCTCAGGGGAAGGGAGGTAACCAGAGGTCAGGGAGAACAGGACACCTGCTCAGGACAGGAGTCCTGGAATTCAGACGGAGTTCCAAGCTCCCTGCCATGGAGTTGGCGGTGACTCATAGTGACCCTTTAGGGCAGGGTGGGATGGGCCCAAACAGTGGCCAAGGCTGTCAGGAGCCAACTGTCATATCTTACCCCGTCAGAGCAGCTAGCAGGTTTGACTGCTGACCTTTGGGGTTAGCAGTGGCCCAGGGCTCCCTCAGAGGGGTTTAACGAGACCGGAGTCAGGGGCCAGTGTCACCACCCACAGTGCGTACCATGCACCAGAGATTCTGCAGTCTACTGCCCAGCATTGGGGCAGGACGTAGAGGCCTGTGACAAGCCCGAGGAAAGGGGGCTGGGGTGGGGGTGGGGGGTGGGACAGAGAGATGGTAGCTTCTCACGTCCTGGGGTCAGCCAGTCGCCTCACACCCACCCCTGCATGATGCAGCCCCTTGGCCTGGCCAAGAGTCT